TCTGTGTTAACTACTCTAGGATGCCACTGTAGCACCAAAGCAGTCAAAGACAATATGTAAACAAAAGGGCGTGGCTTTCCCAGGAACATCTTATTTACAAAAACATGAAGCAGGCCAGACTTGACAAGACAAAACTGAACTACAATGACAGAAAAGAGAGTACCCTAGTTGTTGTCTATGGTAATGTAGACAATGGGAAAGAGTTGAAGGGACTGCTGGAAAGCAGCACATCACAAATGACAGAAATGTTCTATATCTTGATAGTGCTTGTTAAGTTATAAGCACGGATACCTTTTCAAAATTCACTAAATTCTGTATACTTAAAACAGGTGCACTGGGCTGGGGTTGTAACTCAGTGGTAGAGCTCTTGCCTAGCACACATAAGGCACTGGGTTCAATCCTCAGCACCACTTATAAATAAATTAAATAAAGGTATTGTGTCCATCTACAACTAAAATTATTTTTTTAAATGGGTGACATATCATAAATTTATCATGCTTCTATAAACTTGACTTGTTTTTCAAATGTACAGATGTTCCAGATGACAGTTATCAATGATGTAAAAAAAAACATGGCCTTTGGAGCCAGAATTCAAATTTCAGCACCATAGCCTACTACCTATATGGTCACTGCCAAGTCACTTTAGAGTTATTTCCTCATCCTAAAATAGATCAATAATTCCTGCCTCATAGATTTAAGAATTATATAAGAAATCAAGGTAAGATTCAGTATAACATCTGGCACATAAGAGGCACACTCTGCTGACCTACAAAGTTTTTTAAATCTTAAGTATGAAAATGATAGTAAAGAGCAGACTAGCTTCTTTTGTAGTCTTCTGAAATATTCTGACATTCTTTGTTCACTGTCTGTTGTGGTTTCACCTGACTTCAAGCACTGGCATCCAATGTCAGTTCCTGAAGTCCACAGTAATTTGGGTCTAACAACAAGCACTGTGAACTGAAATTTATTTCAGAAAATATTCCACAACAAATGTTATAAAAGGAACATAAGAAGACCCAAAAGTAAAAAGAAAAATATCAGTTTCCCAAGCAAAAAGAATGGCAATAAAAATGTTGTACTATTTTAATTACCTTCTTTAAAGAACAATAAAGTTGGATGTTTTCCCTTTTTAGACTAGGATTTCAGTTTTATTGAAAGCAGTAGCTAACCAATGAAATTATACCACCACACAGCATTTGTATAGTGATTTATTTCATGTGTTTCTCACAAGAGTAGTATATAATAAACAGGATAAGGATAATATTAATTTTTCACTTTATAAGCAAGGATACTAAGTCTAAGGCAGATAAAGCAGCTTGCTCAAGATCACACAGCAAAGAATGGTAAACTCTGGATGTGAAGTCAGATCCTGTGATTCCATATCACATGCTTTTACTAGAGATCACCATCAGAGAACCATCTTCAGTCTGTAAAACTCTTAACTCCTACTGACTTTTCGTAATATGTCTTAATTAAAAACACCAATTATTATAGAATGTCATATTTAATTAATTCCTAACCATTTAAGAATAACTGGTTATTTTGAGTAACAGGCTAATACTATGGAAAAGTATAAGCTTATGATATGATCAGAAAGTACAAATTCAAAAACATTAATTTCCATAAAAGAGCCTACCGAGTGACATAAACAGTAAACACCTCACACCTATTCCTTCTCTCCCACCTCAATATCCACATCATATAAACACACTAATATTCATCTTCCCCAGATACTGAACACAGCCCTGAAGAGGTGAAAAAAAGAAAAGTACCCCACTGCCCAACACAAGTATTCATACAAATTACAGTATTTCAGGAACAGATCTACTAGTCCACCCTCCCAACAAAGACTGATAAAAATAGGTGATCTATTCATCTTCTACTTATTCTGTATCATTCAACCCAAAAGTGAAGTGAAAGGCTATAAATCTGAGGACATGCTCACAAAACAAACTTTCTACCAACTGCTTCCTCCAGTCTCCCCAAAGACAGTCTGATAGGGGAAGCAGTGCTTTCAAATGGATACCTGCCCTCGTTAGTAATAACTATAGTAAATCAAACCTACTTGAGTGCACTAAACATTAACCTTGAAGGAGCAAGCACAGCTGGGTGCAGGGGCAGCACATCTGTAATCCCAGCTACTCAGGAGGCTGAGACAGGAGGATCACCAAGGTTGAGGCCAGCCTGGGCAACTTAGCAAGATTCTGTCTCAAAATTAAAAATTAAAAGGGTTGGGGTTATAGAGTGCCCCTGAGTTCAATCCCCAATATAAAAAAAAAAAGGTATAAATAAGACTCAAGTCTCAGGATTTCTTCTTTATCAAAGAAACGGCTGAACTATCATACACAGAAGCATCACTTTTAAGAATGCTTTTGTAAGTTATGTAAAAAATGCATCAAAATTAACATTATGGCTACCAGGAGAAAGCTACCTAACACAGTTTCACTTATTCCTAAGAACACCGTAAGCATGCTACTACACCTTTTAGAACAGGAAACTGAAGCTGAGAGGAAAAGTAAGGTGCTCAAGGACAAAACTATTCAAAGGAAATGTGAGGATTTGAACTCAAATATACCTACCTCCAAAGTGTGTGTACTTCATTCTAAATTGTGCTATCTCCCAATTTCACAACTGAGGAACATGCGGAGTTGTGAATGGATTAGTACAGCAGTTTTAACATTTTAACCTTTCACCAACTGGAGGGGAGGATTTCTAAATTGCAATCTTTTTTTTTTTGAAATCCATAGTGCATGATCTGAACCCCAATTCAAGAAGAAATCAACAGATGAAAAGGAAGGTGAGAAATCCTTTTTAAATAAAACTAAATTTCATCACAGATGTACAAGTAAACTTTCATTTTAGACAAGTCCTCAGAGTCAATGGCTATCTCCTCTGTTCACTACCACTGGCTAGTAAAAAGCATTTCACCCAATTCAAACACATGCTGAATGCCTGCATTGTGTATAACACTTTTTTGGGCAAAGAGGATACAAAGCTAAGTAAGGCCCATTACAGTCTTCAAGGAGTTAAAAGACCAGAGGATTCCATTTATACTACCAGTACAGTTACTGTTCAGCAAATAAATGAACTGTGAGAAATTCTATAACGCAAGTATGTACAACACGCTATCACAGCCTAGAGAAGGAAAGCAACTGGTATACTTGTCACACTACATTTTAAGTAGTATTTGTTTACATTATGTCCCTCCCTGACAACTTGTTCCAACCTCTGTCACCCTCCCTCCCTTCCACCCCACAATCACACACAAACTCTCTCTCTCTCTCTCTCTCTCTCTCTCTCTCACACACACACACACACACACACACACACACACACACAAAACCACAGAAACAGGAAAGGAAGCCCAAGACAAATACTGTGATTCCTCCATCCCTATGCCTTACAAAATGTTTTCCTTTAGCTTCATCAGGTGAAGAAAGTTGGTTTTCAAGCACAAGGAGGCCAACCAAATCAGAAACACCCAAAATCACTTCTCCAGATTACTCACTAGCATGAGAAATCAAAACAAAGCATTACACTCAGTATTTCCCAAATTTCTTTAATTTAGCAAATGGCAAAGGGATACAACTGAAATTAACGTTAAATGATACTTTGGTAAATTTGTTCCACTATGAATGACAGACATGTAAGCTAGTTCCATCTGGGGAATTTAAACAGAATTATTCTCATATCCTAAGCCCAACAAACCGAATGCAGTGGAATGGTACAACCAAAGCTTAACAAGGCTTGTAATTAATGCAGTCCACAAATCCCCAAGAGACCATTACAGAGGGCAAGAATAGTAACACTGATTTATCTCAAATGATCATAACTCCTTCACAAATTTGCAAATAATGACCTTTCAAGCACTGCAGCGTTTGACCTGATCTGGACAGTCCAAAGGCTTATAAAAACTGAATAAACTGCTTCTTCTGAAAATAAAACGGAGTGGGGGTAGTAACCAGAGAAGGTCCAATGCTAAGCACTTCATATTTGCCTGAGGCAATAAACTCTCAAAATAACTTCATTACTGAGTACAAGAGCAAAGAATGAACACCAAAATATTGCTCAATCCAACTTTGTGCATTTCTGAGTACACAGTAGGATCTAGAAACAATATGTCGGAACTATTCTGTTAATTATTTTTTTAAAAAAACGTGTCTACTCTTTCTTAATGGAAAAAAAAAATCCCCATGAGTTTTTAAAACTCCTTACATACTGGTTGGCTTAGCAAACAAAAAAAAATTTTTTTAAGTGTCCCTGAGCCACATTTACAAAAAAAAAAAAAAAAAAACTTTCTTTTGGTCTCAAAGTGAAGCTGCACTTGAGCTGTGTGGCCAGGCGAGCCGAATGCACGGTTCTCGGAGCGCGTGTGGAACGCACCGGTCCCCCGTGGCCTCTGATGTCCGGAGAAGACGCACGGGTCAGTAGGGCCGCGCCCCCGGAGAAGGCGCAGAAAAGCCCCCCGAGGCGGGCACGGCCCGAAGTGTTTACAGTCCGCACCGGCCCGGGGGAGCCGCTCCCTAGCGCTCGCAGCACTTGTTCACCGCAGCGCACTCCGCCCGACAGGCGAGACCCAAGGAGCGGTAGCCCGCCCGGGAGGAGAAGGACGGCCCCCGTGGCGCGGAGCCCCGGGCGAGGGTCCAAAGCC